GACTGTCTCTAGTTTTTCCACCCTGTTGCCTGCCCCTCGCTGTTGATCCCCGAAGGAGAGAGCAGCGCCTTCCAGACATCGACTCCTCTCAGTCCTCCTGCAGGGGAGCTTCCGGAGCTGTCCACAAGGGAATACTGGCGCTCAGGGAGGCCATGCCACTTACTGCTTAGGAGTTGGAATTTGAACCTGGGTCTCTCCCTCTTCCCTACAACCGTGTTATCACTGGGTGTGTGACGTGGTCAGCAGAGAGCCCCAAGTAAGGGGCTGAGGGGAAATGAACAAAGTGCTCCTCTGTGGGGCTGGGCCAAGAAAGGGAAACACCTTCACTGTGATTGCACACCTACACCTACTCTGTGCTCATGGGCCATTCCGGTGGTGGTGGTGGTGGTGGGGGCAAAGCCTCATATACAGTGGGCTCCTGTCACCACTGGAGCCTCATATCCTGCTGGGCCTCTGTCTTAACATAGACCATTACTCACTTGACAGGGAAAGTAACTGCCACAGAGATGGCCTTCTGGCCTTGAAGGCTGTGCCCTAGCAAAGACCAGATGCGCCATGTTGGTGGAAGCAAGATGGAGGATGTTCCATAGAGTGCACGATGACTGTTGACCATGATGACTGGCACCCTGTGACTCCTCATCTGGAAGGGGTCAGGGTTGAGCACAGTAAATTTCAGGGTTCTTTCCTCTTTTGACACTCTAATATTTACAATATATTTAAATATTTGTTATACAGGGCCAGCAGGTGGCGTGGTGGTTAAGAGCACTGGACTCCCACATACCGTGGTTTTAAGTCCTGGACCTGGAAGCTTGCTTTCTCACTTTCTGTCTCTCACTCTGTCTTTCTCTGGAAATATTAAAATAATAATAATTAACAACATTAAATAAAATAATTCTTTGTAAAAAAATATTTATTATACTCTCTGGACACATCAACCATGGATCTTAAACTAGTCATTCCTTTGACTTAGTAATTCCACTTCAGGAAATCTTTCTGAAGGAAATAAATACATAAACAAGGATGTTTATCCCAGCATTATTTGTAATAGGGAGAAATTGGAAATAACCTAAAGATCCGACAATAGAGGACTCAATGCTTAAATCGTGTTACATCCTCACAACAGGTTTTTAGACGGTAATTGAAAGGATGTTATGAAGACTTTGTAAAAACAGGGAAATGGTTATGCCACAATATTAAAGGGGAGCCCCAGGACATAAATGACGTGTTGAGTCACAGTTATGAAAACACACGGTCTCGTAGAACAACAGACACAGACAATTATGACTAGAAAAAAACTAGAAAGAAATGCTAATGGTAGCTATCTTTGATTTATGGAACTACATAAGATGTTTTTTTAAAGACTTGTTTATTTAGGGGCTGGCAGTGGCATGGTGGTTAGGGGTGCTGGACTCGCACATGGCCAACCATGGTTTGAGTTCCAGACCTGGTGGCTTGTTTTCTCACTTTCTCTCTTTCTCTCTGTGTCTCTCTCTGGTCAAATTAAAACAATAATAATAAAGAATTTTTTATTCAACTTTATTTATTATTATTTGTTATAGGGCATGTGTGGTTGCTTATGAGAGAGAGAGAGAGAGCGAGAGAGAAAGGAAGCAAGGTGACAGATTTGGGACTCAAACTCTTGGCACGTGGCCATGTAGGAATCCAGCACTAACCACCATGTCACTTGCTGGCTCTACTACATGAGATTTCTTAAATACATTTTTATAAGAAAGTGCCATTAATATATTTTTAAAAATTAAAATGTGAAACAGTGACAAAAACTCTGGTGCAAGGTCCAGATCATTTTTTTTTTTTTTCAGTTTTTGCTGAGGGTGGTTCACATGTCAGAGAAAGACAGAGAGAGACAGAGAGGGAAATTTAGGGAAAAAAAACAAGGAGACGGCCATGCTGCAATCCCTTCTCCTCCATTCTCCTCTTGGGATTTGGGACACACACATGCACCAGGCACATTTTTCAAGAGCCACCAGGTCCCAAACCTCAAAGTCAGCCGTGTGGGGATCCAGTCCCGTAATCACACCACGAGCTGATTCCAGATCATTTTGACTCCTTTTTGTGCATCTGAGGACTGTGGGTACCCATGACTTGGAGGAAGGTAGCTTCAGGCCATAGGAGAAGTTTGGGAAGAGACAATCACGCAGGGAAGGCCTTGGATTTTTTGGAGAAAAGAGGAGGCCGAGTGGTTTCATGGTCAAGTCTAGACTTGGGTCAGAGTGAGGCTAACACCCTGCTACTACTTATTTCTTCTAGGATCTTGGGTTTCATCTGTCAAAAAGGGAATTATAGCACAGATCCTGAAAGGGAGGCACAGAGATCGAAATGAGGTTCTGTCTGCAAAGCACCTGGCTTGGATGTTGGGCTCAGCGCCCGCCCCGTCACTCACATTTGGAGGACTCTCCTCGGCTTCGCGGGTGCCCTGACTCGGCTGGCTCCTCCCTTGCCGGTGAGGGATGTCTCCCTGGTTGTGAGCGCTGGCTGTGATAGTCCCAGTTTTAAATTGGCCAGTTTGGTTAATGACATGGCCTGGCAGGCAGTCCCCATTGTGTGAGTGAGCACTAAATTAGCCCACAAAGGAAATTGCTTTGCTGAGGTCTTGCACTGGTACCCATGAGAATGCCCTCCCCCCATCCCCCGGGACAAAGCAGGTGGCCGGTCACTGTGCTCTGCCGAGAGGTTTTACTAGATCCGAGAACTGGAGACAGAGCCGGCTTTACTGGGGCTGGCGCGGATCTCGGCTCTGCCCTGGGAGGGTGAGCTAACGTGCCCCTCTGCCTTGGCCTCCCACCTGCCTGGCACCAGTTTCACAAACACTTTCAGGTTTCTTGGCTATAAGCAAAACCTCCTGAGGTCACTTCACAAAGGTTGGTGATACGTATTTTCTGACCAGATGGCCCAGAGAAACCCTGGGAGCCCCAAGATGACCGAATAAGCTGGGGGCTTAGATGGCTAGGATTTTCAGGGTTATGAAGGAGGCTGCCTTGTCAAGAAAGACCAACCTAATTAGCGCTTGCTATTCTACTACAACAGCCCCAGCCCTGCAGAGCCTGGGCCACATATGTGTCCTGGTCCCTTTTGAAAAAGTACACTGACCTGGGGAGGTCACTTTCCACGCATTACTGGTAACTGTGCTTCGGTCAGGCTAGTAGGGATAAGTGAGAAGAGGGTGCTGGCCAGGTTGGAGGAGCGGAGCCAGGCAGCAGTCAAACCAGACAGGGGAAGGACAATGGAGACACCCCAGACCAGCCCTCTCTGATCCCCTGGGATTTAGGTTTCATCCGCTTTTAAGTATAGTTTTAAGTTAAGCCTAAAGTGTGATTATGATTAAGGTAGAGAGAATCTTGGAAATATCTCAAGTGTGTGTGTGTGTGTGTGTGGGGAGGGTGACGTGGGTGTGGGATGGGGGTTGGTGAGATAGTAAGAGACATGGTTGAGATGGAGACCTCGGGCGTGGCTACCAATCTGGGAAATGAGGGGGTGGCCGAGATGACTCCAGAGCCACTTTTTATTTTTTTGGAGAGGTTTTTGCTATAGGGCGTGTGTGCTTGCCAGAAATACAAGAGAGAGACAGAGAGATAGAAAGTGAGAAATCACCCCCCAGGGGGGATGGCCATGCCACAATCCCTTCTCCTCCATTCTCCTCTCAGGATCTTGGGCATGCACGCACACGCGCCCGGCATGAGTTTTAAGCCACCAGGTCCAGGACTCGAACCATGATCGACTACATGGGATTCCAGTGACGTAGCCATTATGCCAACTGCTGGTCCCCCAGAGCCACTTTTAACATCAAATACTTGCTGTCCATCCCTTGGGTTCAACTCCTGGGAGAGAAAGCAGTGGTGACTCCTCCTGACAGATGCAGCTGAGGTCCAATCCCGAGCCTTGTCCTGAAAGCAGGCTTGAGCCGCTGCAGGGGAGGAGCGGCTTCTGACTTGGTACCCAAGTGTTGGGCTTGTCGTGAAGGAAGAATAGATTGAGAAAAGCAAATTGAGAATTGCTACAAAATTGAATACGTGACCACATGACTCTTCACACATTCACATGCCAGGCTGGTTGTAAAGGCTCCTAATCTCCCTGTCCCACCTAGGCACTGTAACTATGCCAAGGACCCTAGCAACTGTTTAATTGCCAGAGGGTTCATGTGTTTGCCAGAAAGCAACAAAAAGGCAGAGAAAATGAAAGAGAGAGAGGGAA